TAGGTATCGTTTGACCCATCCCTATCGCCATCCCTATCCCCATCCCGATCATCCCGATCCCCACCACCCCACCAACCCAGCTCTGGATATGCCCTTCGAGAAACGAAGGGAACAGCCTATATCCCCATCTAGGCGGGTAAATCGGCCAAGTGGGCTCAGGTCATGCCCTTGGGGATAGGGATCGCTTAAACAATGCTCAGAGGTCCTTGCGGTCGATCTCTGCAGTGACGTCGATCTCGCGGACGACCCCGGCGGTGCCTGGCACATTCAGTTTCGATGTGTGTCTCTATAGATCTCTACACATACACTACCAACGCGCGGCGCGCGCGCTCCCTCCTCGTCCTCTTCCTCCCCCTTCTCCCTCCCTCCCTCCCTCCTCTTCGCCCTCCTCACCCTCCCTCCTTCCTCCTCCTTGATCTTTCTGCCTTATATAAGCAGCTCCCCCGTGTCGCACTCCCATACGAATCGGTAGAGCGGGCCGGGCGCTTCGCCGGATGCCTTCTCGCCGTTTATGATCCTGAAGCCTGATGTTTTACAACAGCTCAGCAAATAGAGGGCGGGCCGTTTTCAGAATGCGGCTCTCGCCCTAGCGCCGCGCACATTCGTCTGAAACGTCTGTTCAACAGTTTTACGGATGGATGTGAGCGTTTTTTTTCCTCCCTGTCGCAACACTGGTTACTCCTACCACCCCCCCCCAGTGTAACGCTAACTAACGATCGCATTGGGCGGGGAGGCCCGGACCCGCCCCTTACACTTCTAGGGGGCGGACACTGTGCTCACAGGCATGGCGTGGTGTTGAAAGGCATAATTTGGTGCCCATAGGCTCCTCATCTGTTGTGGCGCCGACCTCACAGGCATGGCGTGGTGCCGCAAGGCATGTTTCGGTCCTCATGCGTGTTGTGTGTGTGTGTTTGTGTGTCCGTGCATTGCGGCCCGAATTTGCATACAGCGTGTCTCATGTGGTCTATCCCTGAGCAGTCGCCCTCTGCCCAGCCGCCGACGCAAAAAGTGAGTGTGTGTGTGTGTGTGTTGTAGCGCTTGCAGGCTTTTGCGGTGTGCGTAGGCCTGCCGGACTCGCTGTGGTGTACACAAGCGTTCTTGTGCACACAGGCAACGAGGTGTACACAGGCGCTGTTGCGCACACGGCTACTGTACTTTACACACGCGTTGCGGTGTACCTAGGCGACGTGGTGCTGCGGTGCACGCGGCTGCTGTGGTGTCCGGAGGCACTGCGGTGTACACAGGCGGCGGTGTGTTGCACGCAGGCGCTGGGCATTGTCGTGTATGCAGGGATTGTGGTGCACACAGGCGATTGATGCGCGGGTGGCGCGGACACATCCTTGCGGGTGCACGCCGCGGCCGCCGTTACCATTACACTCCCGCCCGAACGGCCCCCCCCCCCTCGGGTAACGACCGTTATCCCGGAGGGAAATAAAACTCACGAGGATAGATCGTTTTTCGAACAATGGTTGGCAGTTCGCGGCAGCTTCACACTGGGAAGGCGAGTTGTTTTCAATGCGTGACTCTCGCCTCAGTGCCGCGCACAATCGTTGTATAAGTTTGCAACAGCTTCACGGACGGAGGGCGTGTCCTTCTCCACATGTGGTTATCGCTTTCACGCCGCGCACATTCTACCTAAAGTGTTGCAACAGCTTCGAGGATGGAGGGCGGGTGGTTTCGAACATGTGGTTCTCGTCGTGGCGCCGCGCAAATTCGTTGCATGAAAAGCTTGCAACAGCTTCAGGGATCGAGGGCGGTTAATTTACCCTCCCTCTCTCCCCATCCCTTCCCTTCCCCTCTCTTCAGAGGTGTCTCTCCTCTTCCCCTCCGTCCGTCGCCCTCTCTTCGCACCTTTTGTGATGAACCGCTGACGCTCAAGGCGCGGAACGGAGACAAGGTCACCATCGGCACGGGAGCGGGCAGGACTGGGAGGGGGGCGACGAGAGATCGAGGTGGAGCATGAGGGAGGCGAGAGAGGCACGGCAGCATCGCGACATCCGAACCGTTGAATTGTCGGCCTTGGGTCGTTTCCACCAGAGCGTGGCCCCACCCAGAGCGGGGATGAGCCAAGTGCACCACAAGCCTGCCATCGGATGTTCATTTTGGGAGGTAGGGGGGATAGGTGGACCCACTTCTTTGTCCTGCGTTCAAAAATCTGGCCAAGCAGTTGTGAGGCCGTAACAGAGTTCGTGAGCGGCCGCGTCGTAAATCCTTCAACAGAGGGAACAATCTGGGAATCTCTCGCTGGAGGAATTTTAACGCAATTCCCGTAAAAGTGAATCCGAGTATGATCATCCAGCAAAGGAATTGTTGTACAATTTCCGACCAAGGAATCCGATCGTAACCTTCCACAGACGAGATCCGATTGTAGCCACCAGCAGAAGAACCCCGATTTTAGTATGGGGCAGCGGGCGCCGCAGGAACGAAGGGAGCGAAACACATGACGTGCAATAACACTTGGAAACGAAGTGTGTTTCCAGATTGAAAAATAAGGAAAACACGTCCAGGCTCCAGAAGTGGGAGGGGGAAACACAGGAAACACTGAACCTTCGCCTCCACAGAGGTGGGGAGTGGCATTTCCCCACAAACGGAAGCTTGCTGCAATCATCCCAAACAGGAGTCTGATTGTAATCCTCTGCAGAAGAAGTCACAGTGCAATTGCACACAAAAGGAGTCCTGGCGTCCTTGCTCGCAAAGAGAATCCGGTTGTAGTGTGGAGGGCGAGCGCCCTAGGAACGAAAGGAGCGACAAACATGACACATGTGAGAATTTGGCTGACGAGTGACCCGACCATCTGCAGCTGCTAGTACGGTCCCCGCATGCGGCCTGAGCCCCTGGGGCCTTCGGTGGAGCTCCTTGTGGGGCCACGAATCCTGTGGGGCCACGAACCGTGTGGGGTGTGTGCCAAAATGGGTGGCGGTCCCCGCATGCGGCTTGTGCCACTGGGGCTTTCGGTGTAGCTCCCTATGAGGCCGCGAACCGTGTGAGGGGTGCGCCAAGACGGGTGGCAGTCCCCGCATGCTGCCTGTGCCACTGGGGCCTTCGGTGGAGCTCCTTGTGGGGCCACGAACCGTTTGAGGGGTGCGCCAAAATGGGTGGCGGTCCCCGCATGCGGCCTGTGCCACTGGGGCTTGCGGTGGAGCTCCCTATGAGGCCACGAACGGTGCGAGGGGTGCGCCAAGATGGGGCGGCGCCGCCATGCGGACGCCTCCTTTGGGGCCTTCGGTGGAGCTCCTTATGGGGGCCACGAACCGCGTGAGGGATGCGCAAACATGGGCCGACGCCGCCATGCAGCGGACCCTGTCAACTTCGGTGGAGCTCCCTATGAGGCCACGAACGGTGTGAGCGGTGCGCCAAAATAGTGCGGCGCCGCCATGTGGACCCTGTTATGGACCACGAACCGTGTGAGGGGTGCGCCAAAATGGGGCGGCGCCGCCATGCGGACCCTGCCACTGGGGCTTACGGTGGAGCTCCCTACAGGGCTACGAACTGTGTGAGGGGTGCGTCAAAATGGGGCGGCGTCGCCATGGGAGCTCCCTATGGGGCCACGAACCGTGTGAGGGGTGCGCCAAAATGGGGCGGCGCCGCCGTGCGGACCCTGTCAGTGGGGCCTGGAGTGGAGCTCCCTATGGGGTCACGAACCGTGTGAGGGGTATGTCAGAAAGGGGCGGCGCCGCCATGTGGACCCTGCCACTGCGGCCTTCGGTGGAGCTCACTATGGGGCCGCGAACCGTGTGAGGGGTATGTTGAAATGTGGCGGCGCCGCCATGTGGACCCTGTCAGTGGGGCCTTCGGTGGAGCTCCCTATGAGGCCACGAACCGTGCGAGGCGTGCGACAAGATGGGGCGGCGCCGCCATGTGGACCCTGCCACTGGGGCTTTCGGTGGAGCTCCCTATGGGGCCACGAATCGTGTGAAGGGTGCGCCACAATGGGACGGCGCCGGGGGGGCAGACCACGCTGGTTTGCAGCAGCAGCATTGACCTCGCACCGTAGCCATTTTGGCTCAAGCCGTGCTCGGGCGCGCGCCGCGCGCGGGCGCTTGGGCAGAATGGTGCGGGAGGTGCTCACCGGTGTCGCGGCGGCCCGCTGGGCGGCAGACAACCTGGTGAGACGGCTTGACAGGGGGCTGCGGGAGGCGAAGGAAGTTATCGCCAGCCTCCAGGCGCAGCTGGAGTGCGGATCGAGCGGCGACGCCGCGGAGGCGGAGGCCATCCGCCGCGAAGCCATCGCGCAGCCCGCCTTGGTTGCGCGCGTCCGCGGACGCCGCGAAACCAGGGCGCAGCGGCAGCGGCGGAACGTCGCGCGGCATGCCGAGCGCCGCCCGTCGGCAGACGCCCCGCCGCAGGAATGGCGCAGAGCTCAACGCGGGCCGCGCCTCCCAGGAGGGCCCCTTCCTGGTGATGGGCGCGGCGGTGCGGCGCAGAGTGCCATCGTGTGGGAGGTGGAGACCTGCGTCTGCGAAGTGCAGCCGCCGATTGAGTGCGCATTGGATGCTTGCGTGGCCGAGGCGCCAGCGCGGCTGCCCAGCGGCCGAGTGGCGGCCGCGAGGACACCGCTGCGGTCTGGCGCCCAGCCGTACCTCCCCGAGTGGGCGCGCTGGGCCGCGCTGCTGGAGGAGCTCGGCGTGGCGCAGCTGGCCGAGCAGTGCTGCGGCGAGGGCGGCGCCGAGAGCACCGAGGCGGAGGAGATCATCGCGGAGTTCGGCTGCGAGGCCCATGTGGACGCCCCAACAGGGCCTTTGGTTGAGTTCCCTATGGGGGCCACGAACCGCGTGAGGGATGCGCAAAACATGGGGTGGCGCCGCCATGCGGACGCTGTCACTGGGGCCTTCGGTGGAGCTCCCTATGGGGCCGAGAACTCTGTGAGGGGTGCGCCAAAATGGGGCGGCGCCGCCATGCGGACCCTGCCACTGGGGCTTACGGCGGAGCTCCCTACAGGGCTACGAACTGTGTGAGGAGTGTGCCAAAACGGGCGGCGGTCCCCGCATGCGGACCCTGCCCCTGGGGCCTTCGGTGGAGCTCCCTATGGGCTACGAACCGTGTGAGGGGCCCGGCGCTGAGGATGGCGATGGCGATGCTCATAACGATGTGGATCATGACGATGGCGATGATGATGACGATGACGACGCTGACGATGACGATGACGAGGCGGATGGGAAGAGGGAGGAGGGGGAGGGGGAGGAGAGGAGGAGACGCGGGGCGCTGCCTTTTCAAAACGAGGACCCAACACCACAGGATGGTTGGGAAATGTGAGAAACGTTTGTGTTTTCATCTAGGGAATAGGAGTAGATCTCCAACTTCCCAGGGGGTATTGGAAACATAGAAAACATGAACCTTCGCCTCCGCGGAGGTGGGGAGAGGAGGTCCTCCACACAAGGAAGCTGAGTTAACCGCACACAGCAAGAAACCTAACATTTTCATCTTCGAAAGGCATCCTATTGTAGTATGGAGGGGCGGGCGCCGCAGGAACGCAAGGGCGAAACACACAGAATTATCCTGGCGAAGGACCCGACCATGCGCAGTTGTGAATACCGCAATTATGAATATCATCTTTGCCCGCGCTCCCTATGGGGCCACGAACCGTGCGAGGGGCGCGCCGAGATGCGTGGCGGGGCACGCGACGCGAGCGAAAACGATAGGTCTGCGCGCGAGAGACTGAGCGCGAGTGAGTCTGATTGTGAATGAGTCTGCGTGCGAATCAATCCACGCGCATATGCGTCGACGCCCATGTCGGCGTGCTCCTGCCGAGGATCGCGACCGCTTCCTTCCTTTTTTTTGTTTTCTCTCTCTCTCTCTCTTTGCCCGTGCGCGCCCATGTTCGAGGCTGCGGGCGCGGCGCCACACGGGGCCCCCGCGACCCAGCCGGCCGCCCCGAAGGGCTCCCGGCGACGCGCGCGGGTCGTCCGCTGCGCGGAGCAGAGACTGATAGCGGGCAAGGCTGTGGCCGCCGGGCAGAGAGACGACGGGGGCGAGCGAGGCTCCGGGCAGAGTGCAGCGCGGAATTCCCGCGACGCGCGCTGGTCGCCCCGAGAGGGCCCCAGCGACGCGCGCGGGCTGCCCGCGGCGCGAAGCCAAACAGTCAGACCGTCGAGAGACGGCGAGGCTCGGGCGGGTCGCTTTTCAAGTCAAGCCTCGCGGATAAACTCGGTGAAGCCCAGCTCCTTGGCGAGGGCCGTCGCCTCCCTCCTGTGCCGTTTCGTGCGCGTAGCAAATTGCTCCAGCTGCTTCCGCAATCCCTCCGGCGGCCCTGCCGGGAAGAACCCGATGCGCGGCGCCCGCGTGAGCAGGAGGTTCTCGTGGCGCGTGGCGCGCGAGAGCAGCGCGTAGAGTTCCAGCCGCCAGTGGTCGTCCTCCTTCCTGCCGTTCTCGCAGTCCAGGATCACGCCTGGGCGACGTCGGCCGAGGGGGCAGCGCGCTGGACAGCCGACGGCCCAGGGCGAGAGCCCACGAGAAGGAGAGAAGGTTTCCAAAACGTGTGAGGGGCAACGAAACGTGTGAGGGGCGTGCCAAAATAGAGTGGCGCCGCCATGCGGGCAGCGCCGCTGGGGCCTTAGATGGAGCTCCCTATGGGGCCACAACAAGTGTGATGGGGTGTGCCAGAAAGGGGCGGCGCCGCCATGCGGGCTGCGCCACTGGGACCCTAGATGGGGTTCCCTATGGGGCCACGAAGCGTGTGAGGGGTGTGCCAAAATGGGGCGCGGCCGCCATGCGGGCTGCGCCAGTGGGACCTTGGGTGGAGCCCCTATGGGGCCACGAAGCGCGTGAGGGGTGTGCCAAAATGGAGCGACGCCGCCATGCGGGCTGCGCCAGTGGGACTTCAGGTGGAGTTCCCTATGGGGCCACGAAGCGTGTGAGGGGTGTGTCAAAATAGGGCGGCGCCGCCATGCGGGCTGCGCTACCGGGGCTTCAGGTGGAGCTCCCAA